AAAAAAAAAAAAAAAAAAAAAAAAAAAAAAAAAAAAAAAAAAAAAAAAAAAAAAAAAAAAAAAAAAAAAAAAAAAAACTCATTAGAAGAAGAACACGACAACAACAACAAAATCTCCAGTTCTACGAATTTGCAAAAGTACCTCAACGACATTGATTCGATTGGTTTTCCAGTGAGAATAGGGGAAGAATCCCCATCCGCGATTCTCTGAATATATGCCTCAAAATCATCGTGAGTAGCAAGCGGGATGCATTCCTTGAAGCTCTGAGGATCAGTTCTTCCATTAAGTCCCAAATTCTGCAAGTACTCAGCCCACCCATTTTCCTCCAAAATCTTCTTCAGAGTCTCCACCTGAACTCTTCCCGCATCTTTCGTCATTTCCTCGAACTCCTCTATCACTTTCTCCCCATCAAATACTTCCATCCTCTGCAACATTGTAGAACATTTTAGATTTTAGTATTGAAGGGTCACTCAGTTGTAGATACAATATACATGTATAGATATAGATACATGTATGAATAGATATACAGAACAAAGGAAGTGATATAGACGGGCACCCCAAATGAAGAACAGAGCATGAGGATGAGTTGGAAGATGTAATCAGCGAAATGAAAACAAACATTTCCAAAACCAATAAACCTCAATGAGAATTAACCAACACTGTTTTTCCTTATCCGTTAGAACTTCATGGAACTTACCTGAAACAAAACTTGGAAGGACAGGAGATGGTATTTCTGTAAGAAAAGTAGATGGTATTTCAGTCTCTCCTCCTCCAAAGATTATAGAGAGGGAGAGGCTTATATAGCTTTTCACTTAGCTGCAGTTGGGAGAGACAAAGATGTGAATGGTGAGGGATGGATGATTCTAAGGGGCGCTCAAAATATATACCTGCCACCATACTTCCTACTCACTCTTCTACCCTTGGGAGTGGACAACGATGTGTTTCCACCGGTGGCTAACGGCACCCGAAAATCCACCCAAATGACCGTTCTACCCTTGGGAGTAGACTACAATTACCCTCCCTTTTCTCACCCGCATGGAAATTACCTGGCACCATACTTCCTACTCCCACCATCAGCATTTTTTATTTGGCGGAGAAGTAGACAACAGTACCACACAACCTGCAGATGTAGTTGCCAAATGAAGAGAGAGCCATTAAAGATCCTAACTGTCACCCCCATTTTTGAGGCTTTGAAAAACATTACAAGACAAAATGGAAAACAAATAAAATTAGAAGTCAACAGCACAAAAGTTAAATGTAAAATTAAAATCAAATATTTCTCCCGAGAATACAATGAAAGAAAAATATAACACTTTAAAAGACCGACGGGGACTGATGCTTCGGAACGACACCCCTCTGTGACAATGCAGCTTTCGAACACCTCCACAACATATCAACTGGTACCTGAAAAAAAAAAAAAAAAAAAAAAAAAAAAAAAAAAAA